TTCTTCCCCATGTTGGTTTCCTCTAGTGAGGAAGTCTAAAGTCAAAGAGACTTTCTTTCACTTCAGTTCAGGAAAACACCTATCATGGGCTTGCTGTGTGCCAAGCTCTGTGGAATATTCTGAGAATATAAAGATACATGGACATAGTTTTGTATAGTCTCATAGGAAATACATAGAAGATAAACAAAATGAAGCAAATGCTCTAATAAAGATGTATAAACACTTCTCCTGAAACACAGATGCAGAAGTCACCTAACTGGAGAAATCAAGGGAAGTTTCTTAAATGAAGTTTTTGCTCCATACATAAGGATGAGAAAAATTACACAGATCAGGTTCACAAAAAGTATACGTCCCAGGATGAGAAGTTGTTATAAGCTAAGACTTAGAGGTATAAATGAACATTAACAAGTTTCTGGATACTGAACACAGTTGGAGTTCAAGGGATGGTAGGAAATGAGACTAAAATAGTAGGTTGTGATGCAGAGACGGAGTTTTACATGCTAATCCAGTTTTTAAATTTCACTGGGGTAATCAAATCTGTGTCTTCTGAAAAACAGCATCACTGATGTAGAACATAGGATAGATGCCTGACTGGAGTGTGAGGAGAGACTAGGAGTGAGCATGCCAAGGAAAAAATAAAGAGGAGCAGCAGAAGAAAAGTATATATTTACAAGTGAGGATCAAAAGTTCTCAAGTTTGATAAAAAGGAGGAAATTAATGACTTGCAGTTTTAGAAGTAAAGATAATAGTGAATTGCATTTTATGGCAGATTATCTTATTTAAAAGTTATTTTATGCTCATTTTTCAAGTCTTCTCAGCTTGAAGAAAAAGCTTTAACAAGTGAAGTATGTAATTAGCTTTTCCTCCTTGCCTGAAGACAAAAATGAAAGTGTGAACCAAAAAGATGGCCAAGTTTAAAGCAAGAATGTATATTCTTAGGTTTATGTTTTGGATTATTTGGTAACGGGAATTTCTTTATTGCAAGGATAGAGGCATAATTGGTAACATACAAACTTCCTAGTAAGCTCTTTCACTGGTTTTGAATGAGTGACAGCATTTCAAGATGTTTGTTTAGTAAACATCCATTGATTCTTATTTGTCTCACATCATCTGAAGAGAGAGTCAAATAAAATTCAGTCCCTACTTGAGGTCACTTACCAACTCTTAGAAGAAACAGACCAGTCAACCAGCAGTCACAGCGCTGAGTCATAAGCATTATGGGAGCACAGAGGACAGGTATCTACGTCACAGTGGGCGTCCAAGAGGAATTTCTAGGGAAAATTATGTTTGAGTGGAGTTTTGAAAGGCAGAAGAGCAAGCTAAATAAATGGAAAGGGGTGTTTCATGTGGACAGAACAGCATGTATAAAGAAATAGAAGTCTAAAAGAGCATGGTGGGTTAAGGACCTCCAAGTACTTATGTATGATTAGAGCCCAGTTGGTAAAGGAAGGAAAATTGGAAGGTGATGAGGCCTGAGAGAGAGGGGCAGTGAAGGACCTATTGTGCTAAGCAATGAATTGTATGAATTTTATTCTTTATCCTGAAAAATATTATTACGCTCACATTTCATTGCTAGAAATGTGGGCAGGAGATCAGAAGAGTCAAGACAGGACCATGTAGACCATGGCAACAGTCTCCTGATTGGCTGAGTTAGGCTTAGTAGCCATCAATATTCAGAACACTTAAAACACTGAGAGCAACTCTAAATGTAGCATCTAAGACATTTGGTATCTCCATGAGTGTATGTCTGAGGAGGGAGGAGGAGACTGGATGAATGGGCAAAAATCTAGGATTTGCCACAAGTCTCTAGTATGGATGACCATGTAGATAGTGCTCTTCATGGAGATGGAAATTAGGAAAATAAGAGAAAGTTTGGGGAGGGAAATAGAGGTTTCAGTTTTTGAACACATTATCTTTTATGCACCTGTGAGAGACAGCCAAGTAAAACTGTCTAGATGGAAGTTGAATATATAGACCTTGAGCTCTTAAGAGAAGTATCAGTAGGCAATAAAGATGTGGGAGCCATCCTTATATGGGTAGTAATCTAAAGTAGCAGGTTTTATAAGGTTATATAGGTAAGTATGGAATGAGACCCCTAGGAAGACAAGGACACATTAAGAAGGGGGAAAAAGAAATGCACTGAAGCTGAGTGAGACTAGAGGATGGGAAAATGGAAAGAGTAATTTCAAGTATGGGCCCTGCCCACTGTTGTCAAGAATATAATTAAGATAAATGAGAAATTTCTTTTTATGTTCTACAACATGGAGAAAATCTGTGATAAAATAGAAGACATGTGTTGTCTTTATCATACTGCCCCTTCTTCTCCTGTAGTTAACAAAGCTTCCATTTTCCTTTCAAGAGCTATCCTCTCCCATTGGCTGAAGGCACAGTGGGGCTGTCAGTTTAGGTGCCCTTCCCTCTTCTGGGGAATGTAGACATGTGACCTAATCTAGGTCTCTCAGACTATGTCTGCCTGGAATTTGAAATTTGAGTGGATTGTTTGGCAAAATAGCAATGTTGGTAACACTTGTATGGTTCTATCTTTGTGATTTATCAATATGATGAGATAATGAAATAATGCAAGGATAAATACATTTTATGATGGTTATAACTTCAAAAATAAGGTCAAGAAAGATATTTGCTTATGAAATTTGTTCTAATAAGTGAAGTTGATATTTTATTAGCCTAGCTGAATGTCACACAATACTATTAATACGTTACTAACTAGGGAACTTGTTTTGTGTTTCAAGCGATGTATATCTAGAAACATTTTGATGAGTTGCACCCAGATTCATGAAAGCAAATAATTGAGAAGATTAGCTCCATAATATATCAAATGTATCAGATCTTCTCTCAAGGAAACCTTAAATATATTTCAAACTTGTTTATACAAAGTCAATACTCAAATAGTGGCTAAGAGCCCTGCTCTGGAGGGAGTCACACCACTTAGGTTCTACCTAGATATAAACACTGAGAAAATGGTTCAGTTAAATTCATTGTAAATCAACTATACTTCAATTTAAAACACAGTGTAAATGAACTGTACTTCAATTCAAAACACAGTGTAAATCAACTACAATTTTTTTTTAAAGCACAGTGAGAAAATTACATCTTTGGGTCTTTGTTTCCTCATCTGTAAAATGGAAATGGTAATTGCACCTGTCTCAGGGGGTTGTTGAAAGCATTAATTAGATTACCAAATGGAAAGCCTTAAAAAAGTACTTAGTATATAGTGTGAGTCTGTTGTTTTTATTATTGCCAGCATGGTAGAAGCAAGACTATTATTTGATAGGTAAAAGTCTGTTGTGAAGTAGAAGTCAGGCCAGAGATCTGCCAAAGTCCTTGTTTTCAGTTCACATGAGCATCATTGAACTTGGGACAAATCACCTGAATTGAGGTGGATGTGGTGTGGGGCAGTTCCCACACCCAGGTTTCGTTTTGAGTGTTAAATGTGTGCAAATGTGAAAATTCAAGGTGAGACTTGAGCAAAACTGCCAAGTTCTAGACAACTCATTTCAAAACTAATTAGTATATTCAATTTTGGGGCAAACCCTGTTAACCAGTTTTGCTGTTTTTTAGCAAAATTTACAACAACAAACATTTTTTTCTTCCCTTATTTGATTTCGGATCTTGGTTCATGACATATTTTCATCTTAGGCCCATTCATGGCCTGTATTTCAATTAAATAGCTATTTTTTGATGATGTAGTAAGTGCCTGTGAATTCAACATCTAAAACAAAAGTTAAAATTTTGACAATAATGTATATCTAATTATATGAATACCCACTATATCTTCCTGGATCCACTTATCTGAATTCCTGTGGACATTCATTCTTTGCTTTAAGTTTTTTTCTTTTTTGTTTTTCTTGTTTAGTTGTTGCTGAGAGAGGACATGTTTTAAGTAATGTCTAGGGGCATACTTTTTGTATTTGTATATCATGAATTATATCAGTATACAAGTGTTTCTTTGTTTCTAAGTCTCATCTTGGAAATTTTTCCAAATTAACATTTAAGAATTATAGGATCCCTTGTCATTAAAATAGAGATTGAAGATTGAATTTTTCTGGCCCATCCACCTGCCTATACTAGGTTAACCCAAAACTTAGATTGAATGTCGATATATTTAAGCAGGTCTGAATTACAAAAACATCATCTGATACCATTTTTCATTTCTTCAAAATCTATAACCTGTATTGGTTATTAAATAGGTCACCTGAATTGTGCACTGGGTTTTTTTAACTTTGATCTCTTGCCTTCTTACTTTTAGTGTCTGCCCCTATAAAGGATAATGTACTGTGTTTCACACGGTAGAGCTAATCCTCCGTAAATCATTTTACAGTACATGATGAACAAGATATCTTGATATGAAACCTTTAGATTTCCAAACAGTGCTGAGACAAGTTCAATTGTTGAAAAGTAACAGTAATCAAGAAATAATAAGTTATAGTCTTTTCTGCAAATGTTGGTTTTAATCCAGTGATCAGCCTTCCCAGGTGGTGATAGTGGTAAAGAACTCACCTGCCGATGCAGGAGACATAAGAGACACAAGTTCAGTCTCTGGGTCAGAAAGATCCCCTTGAGGAAGGCTTGGCAACCCACCCCAGTATTCTTGCCTGGAGAATCTCATGGACAGAGGAGCCAGGCGGTGCTCTCCAGTCCTTAGGGTCACAAGGAGTCAGACACGACTGAAGCGATTTAGCATGCACATGCAGTCTGTCTCCAGTGTTACTCTCTTTAGTTAAATGTCCTTTGAAAGTATTTTTGTTCAAAAATAACTTGAAGTTCTGTGTCTATACCATACATGTGAGTATCTCATGTCAGTGTCTATGAGCTAATAAATTAACCCACAGCCCCTCAGACAGATGGGATGAAAAGGGAGCAGCAGAGGAGACTTTATGTCAGATGAGTTAGAGCAGTAGTCTAGTGAGCAAATATGCCAGTTTGGAAATGGATTCTCTTATCCTGCTGAAGAGCTCTTTTTAAAATAAATTACAATCATAAAGCTGTCACCGTTTACTATGCACGGACATGTCCAGAATCGGATCTCCTTCATGAAGGCTGCTTTGTGCAGGTAGGTAGCCACAGCCAGCAGGCCTCACAGCTCTTTCAGCTCATCAGAGAGAAAATCTGCTACAAGAAAACACATGGGTGAAAAAAACTGATTAAATATGCTGCTCCTCTGTGTGTCTGTATAAGCTTCCTTCTGAAACAAGTTGACTTGCTTAAATTGTTTTAGAAAAATAAACTCCAAAAGCCTTGAGAATAGTGCAGTCTTAAAGTTAGTATTGATTTTCATCAGTGTTAAAAACACTTTCAGAGGAATAAAATGAGAAAAAGAACATGTTGACCACCAGTAGTGGCAACAGTGTATGTCATTGATTTGAGAGAGACTTGGATAAAAACAAGTCCTGTGTGTGTGTGTGTGTGTGTGTGTGTGTGTAAAATTAAGAGTATACTTTAACACTCGAGGTTATTCTTTCTAATTGCTTTTACTCTAGCATGCTAGTTTTTATATTTGTATAACACATGTTGAGGTGGAAAGTCCAGCTTTGCATCTTTTTAAATGTTGAAGAAATTATCAGATTACATTTTTTGTATGGTTTTATATAGTACCTCCTATGGAAGATTGTAAGGAACAAGAGCCTATTATGGACAACAATATTTCTTTGGTGCCTTTTGAGAGACCTGCTGTCATAGAGAAGCTCACAGGGAACATGGGAAAACGTAAAAGCTCCACTCCACAAAAGTTTGTGGGTAAGCATTACAAAGGGGTTTATTTCTCTAAAAGCTGATTTTCATGAGCAAAGGCATACTCCCATGTATATGTGAATATATATGGTGTGTTTCAATTCATGAAATAAATGGTCATCTCTTTTCTCCATCATACTACACACGAAGTATGTATGACATTACACACAGACACACACACACACACAAACTGCATACCCTTAGGCATGTGGGCCTAAGAAAGAGAAATGAAGGAAAGAGTGATAGGACTCTAATGTTATCTCAAAATGAAGCCTTATATAAAGGAAGTGAAAGTTACTCAGTCGTGTCCAGTTCTTTGTGACCATGGACTTTCTCCAGGCCAGAATACTGGAGTGTGGGCAGCCTTTCCCTTCTCCAGGGGATCTTCCCAACCCAGGGATTGAGCCCGGGTCTCCCGCATTGCAGGCAGATTCTTTACCAACTGAGCTATCAGGGAAGCCCAAAGTAGCCCTCATGGCCTGTACTTACATGAAGTATAATAACAAATAACAATACTTAAAGAGAATGATGTAGCCTATTAGCCAGGTTTTTAATATACTTTTTTTCCACAAAATTAATGCTTTTAAAGAATCTGTCTACCAGTGCCGGATACGCAGGAGATACGGATTTGATACGGGTTGGGAGGATTGCCCTGGAGGAGAAAATGGCAACCCACTCCAGTATTCTTGCCTGGGAAGTCCTATGGACAGAGGAGCCTGGAGGGCTATAGTCCATGGGGTTGCACGAAGAGTCAGACACAGCTGAGCATGCATCCCCCCCAAGTATTTAACCTAGAATGAAGAGAGATCTTTTTTTTTTTCAATTTTGCATTAAAATAAGTAATTCAGCAATCTGCATTCAAGATGTTTCATATTTTGAGCTACAGTTCATATTTTGATCTTTGTTTTCATGTAGCTTATGTTTTGAACTGAAAAGATTAGGTGTGATATATTAGACTTTCATTTCCAAGCCCTCAGATATTCTTTGTTACACTCAGAGTTGGCATCATTCTGCATACTGTAATACTATAGTCGTAAATTTTCTCTAAAGTTACAGAATTATCTAGCTATTTTCAAAAAGAGCTGAATGAATAACAGAGTCAATATAAAAAATGTTCATTATTTATGTATATAATATATATTCTTATAGACTTATATAGAGTGAAAATTAGAAGAGATAAAAAAATAAGCAGATTCTCACATTCTAGTGTCAAAATACATTGTGGAACATCTTTATGAGGGTTGAGTAGTAACTGAGAGAAAACCTTTGCTTTGGTTATTTCACAGGGGGAAGGGTAATAAAATTCTCCTATTCCAGTAAACACTTAGAGAATATTTCTTTTCAATCTAAAATTGAAGAACTAACAAATCACCAAAATATGAATTTAAGACAAGCTGGAGAAATTAACTGACAAAGTTCATTGAAAGAAGCCCGAAGATCATAGCTTATGCTAGGTTAGTTCAAAACTCGGGCTTCCCAGGTGGCGCTAGTGGTAAAGAACCCGCCTGCCAATGCAAGAAACTTAAGAGACATGGGTTCGATCCCTGGATCAGGAAGATTCCCTGGGTGAGTGCATGGCAACCTACTCCAGTATCCTTGCCTAGAGAATCCCATGGACAGAGGAGCCTGGTGGGCTGTGATCCATAGGTCCTCAAAGAGGTAGACATGAATGAGTGATTTAGCAGCCCACACAGTTTAAAACTAGCCCCTCAGAGTATACTCAGATCTGTTTTGGGCCCTGAGTCACTTTTGTTTCTGTCTCTCTCTCTTCCTGCTTATAAATAAGCTTTTTTAAATGCCAGTTCTTCTGTTTTACAAAATTGATTCGTTTGCTGGATGTCTATTAAATGTCTATGTCATTGGAAAAATGTGAAATTTTTTACTATTCTGTTTTCTGAATTTACTTAGTTCTCATCTTTGTAATGTTTTCATGTTTCCTGTGACTTAGATGCTGCTCTCAATTTGACTTAATTGCATCTCTTAGAAAAGAGGGGTACATTAAAATTTTTTTTTATTCTAAAATAAGAACATTACATTTTTATTAGAAGTTGATGATATGTTTTTCTTTATTTGGATTCTGTCCTAGTGGTAATACACAATTGATGCTTGAACAACACAGGGTTTGGGGCAATGGCCTTAATGCAGTGGAACTTTGCATGTGACTTACAGATGACCCTCCTTACACAGTTGTCCATACCCACCATTCTGCATCCATAGATCCAACCAACCATGGATCATGCAGTACTATAGTATTTACTGTTGGAAAAAAATCCTCCTGTAAGTGGACCTGCACAGTTCAAACCCATGTTGTTCAAGGGTCAACTGTATAACAATTGCATAGTAGTTTGTTTTATGATGCCTTTTGAAATGAGAAATATCATCATTCCTCACTTACTATAAATTTCTTTTTGTCACTTTCCTCAGTTAAATACTTTCCTTTGATTTTATTAAGCTCTTCAGGTCAGTGATCCCTGAACTTGCTGTGTATTTGTTTCAGCCTCTCTTTTCTTATCCAGTTTGGATTCCATGACTCTGTTGTCTTACTGTCCTTCTGTCTTTCAACTAGTAAAATGCCTACCCTCTAATGAAGCCAGCTGAACCTCTTTTCCACATCTACATAGTTGCTAGTATTTTAGAGAAAATCCCACAGCCTTATAAATTGGCGTTGCTGTAAATAAATAAGTAACTGATCTCAAATACTAATTGTCCCATCCCTACTGTATAGTGGCCTTCCTTTTATCCATCCCTGAACACTCTTCTCTCATATTCAACACGTAGGGCCATTTCAACCTTTCTCTACTCTCCCAAAATATGGTATCTCACACCTTGGTGATATTACATCTAGATTCTTAGGAAATAAAAACAGTTGACATGATTTCAGCTCTCACTAATCCTGTAAGATATGTGCACTCACGTGAATGCTCTCTTCTTTCATGATGAAAGCAGCATCCTTCTTTCTAATTAATGCTGCTGCTTGTTCCCTGGAATTCTCCTATCCCAGCCCCTCAGATAACTTGCACTATTGTTTTCCCCCTTTCTCACATATATTTTTAACATGTCCCTTCTATTGGCATTTTTCTTTTGGCATTCAATGTGATAAATTCTCATCATAAAAAAAAAAAAATCTAATCTCAAACCCAGGTCTTTTTCCAGTAACTGCCTACTTTCTCCTTCACTTCGAATATGTAATTGTTGAAAGAGTTCTCTGTGATTGCTTTCTATAATTTTTTTTCTTTCTACTCATTCTCCAGCCTACACAGCCTTGCTTTTGTCCTCATGTTCTACTGAAATTGCTCTTTATAGTGTCAAGTCCAGAGGACTTTCTGGCCATTTTACACAACTGGAGCGTATTTTCATTACTGAATAGTTATACCCTTAGAAACACTCTCTTTCCTTGGTTTCAGTGACACTGATCTTGCTTGCGTTTCTTCCAGCTTCTCTGACTCCTCCTTCTCAATCTTCTTAATGGATTCCCTCTAAGAGTTATGCAAATGGTTCTACAGTCCTAATGGAGGCCTCAATTCATATGCCTAATTATTTTAATATCATAAATCAGGCTTAAATTAAACACTATTGTGTTCTAACCTCCTAATCTGGAAGACTGAGTTCAAATAATATAGAATCCTCAGATTCCTCAGAGTTCCACACCAGAACTTGAAGGCATGAGCAGAACAAACCCCCTGGTGTGCAGTCAGTCCCCTCTTTTAAACCCACTCCTGAGCATCAAAGAGGGGCCTCCTGCATGTGTGTGTACACACTTTGGTCTGCACATCCAGATTCTTTTCACGTCCCACCCCACTCACAGCACGTAGAGTAGTGTACTGACCATTCTTCAGGCCTTAGTGTACCTACCAGAAACAAAGTTGGTACTCAGGGAATGGACCCTGTGGAGAGGACTCTGCAACTCTCAGTGCAAGTTCTGGGCCATCTGGACAAAGAATTCTGGCATGCTGGGCACCCAGAGCATAGTCTAGGGTGTAAGCTCCAGATTGGCCCTTTCCCTTGGCCCTACACATTCCTTATTCCTTCATAAGGAGTGAGACGCAGGGCTCTCTAAGCTTGGGACTCTAATCTCACTTGCCCTAGTCTATGGGCAGGTATAAAAACCTTGATGCTCTTCCAAGTTCCATTTTTGACCTTCTCTTTTTCACATTTTACCTGTGCCTTTGTGAGATCGTCTATTCCCATGGCTTCAGAAACTCATTTCTATTAACTGATGCCTCTTATATCTGTATCTCAAGCCCAAATCTCTCTCCTGAGTTTGAGACTGTATCTCAGTACTTGCTAGACATGACTATGACTCATAGTCTTCCCCAATCTGAATTCACCATCTTTTCTATCCCATTGCCATCCACCAAGTTTCCCAGGCCAGAAACCTGGGCTTAATACTTAACCTCTTTCTTTTTCTCATTCTGTGTCTCGATAATCACCAAGTTCTAGCAACATTTTCAAAAATTTTCTCCATTCCATCCATTTTTCTCCATTTCCACTGCTACTGTACTAGTTGAAGCCACCCATGGTGTCTACATCCCTGTAGCAACAACTTCCTAAATCATCTTGCTAAATAATTCTCTAGTTATTCACTTTCCTGTTTAACCCTTTCAGTTCTTACCTCTCTCAGGATAGATTTCAAATTCCTTAGCTCTTGAATAAGCCCTATATTATCAGATAGCAACTTTCTCATCTGTTTCCATTCTCAGCCGTATGCAAAGTGTTAGTAATCCCCAGGATGAGTCATGCCCTCCTGCCTCTGAGCCTTCCTACCAACTTGTCATCACATCCATTCTGTGATGTCACTTTCTTCAGGAAGCTTTCTTTTATTAATACTGTGAGTTTTGTGTTCCTTAGTTGACCCCATACCACATATCACACTGTATTATAAATAACCCCTGAATTGTTGTCACACCCGCTAAACAGGGCTTCCCTGGTGGCTCAGTCGGTAAAGAATCAGCCTACAATGTGGGAGACCTGGGTTTGATCTCTAGGCCAGGAAGATCCTCTGGAGAAGGGGAAGGCAACCCACTCCAGTATTCTTGCCTAGAGAATCCCCATGGACAGAGGAGCCTGGTGGGCTCCTGGTGGGAGTCCGTGGAGTTGCAGAGAGTTGGACAGGACTGGGTGACTAAGCACAGTACAGCTTAACTTTTAAACTCTTGACACTGCAATAACTTAATTGTATGCTGTGCCTCTTTTTTTTCAATTTTCACTCCTCTCATCTGGGAGACCTTCCTTCAAACCTGAAATAATACTAGCCACATGAAAGTATTTTTCCCGAATACAATTTTATGGATCAGTGTTGCATGTTAGTCAAAGTAAGCATTAGTAGGAGAACACATTGATTAAATGGCAGAATTTTTAAAAGATTAAATACTCTGTCCAAAACTTGGGATATTTGAAGGAGAAAAACCTAAACTACTATTTTGTACACCAACTCTTTAATTGGTTAAGCTTAGATATGTTGATATATAATATTGAAGTAAAATTAAATTAGTTGAAGTAAATGTTGAAAAGTAAAACTACAAATCTCTCTCAGTCAAGAAAATATATAGAAAACTAACAGTGGGTGTTCCTATAGTAATAGCTTATGTGTCTACATAAGAAAGGGGTGATGCAAAAATGAATGATTATCCATTTCAAGAAGCAAAACAATGAAACAATCATTTTCAAGTTTATAATAAGTAAGTGCTTTGGGAAATACCCTATTTTTATATAGCCCTAATTTCATTCAGTTTATCAATTAAACTGTTAAAAGTATTTTAATCGTGGCATTTAAAAATTTTCCATAATGACATATATTTGGTCTATAATCTTTCTCTAACATAGCAGCTAAATCAACCAAATTAACCATACACGATAATGAGATAACACAGGTGTTATAACCATATCACTCTCATTTTATGATCTTTGAGGCTTGATCACTGATGTTTAAAATATGCAAAAACAAGTAAATCTCTGACTATTTTTACCTGGTATTTCTTCTTTCTTCTACAGTTTCTGAGCCCTAGACAAGTGGAAACTTTGATAGAGAATGAAAATAAGATAACACACACACAATCATACCTTTCAAGCTAGATGCATTTTCATGATGGCATTAGAACAAGTGCAAATGGCTGGTGACATTTTTATTACTAATCCTCTCTGTAGGTTAAGAGTATTTGTGAGTCTCAGCAGAATTAAAGAGCCTAAATACTTGATTTAAAGAATAAGATATACCATATTATAGAAAATGAAAGTGATTAGTTAATTTTGTATGTATATATCCTTAGTCAAGCTATTCATTGTGTTGTATTCTTTTTTTGTCCCCTTTTTCCTCTTCTCCTCCTTTTCCATTCAGGAGAAAAGATCATGCGATTCAGCTACCCAGACATTCACTTTGATATGAACTTAACATATGAGAAGGAGGCTGAGCTGATGCAGTCTCATATGATGGACCAAGCCATCAACAATGCAATCACCTACCTTGGAGCTGAGGCCCTTCACCCTCTGATGCAGCACCCGCCAAGCACAATCGCTGAGGTGGCCCCGGTTATAAGCTCAGCTTATTCTCAGGTCTATCATCCAAATAGGATAGAAAGACCCATTAGCAGGGAAACCTCCGATAGTCATGAAAACAACATGGATGGCCCTATCTCTCTCATCAGACCAAAGAGTCGACCCCAGGAAAGAGAGGCCTCTCCCAGCAATAGCTGCCTAGATTCTACTGACTCAGAAAGCAGCCATGATGACCACCAGTCTTACCAAGGAAACCCTGCCTTAAATCCCAAGAGGAAACAAAGCCCAGCTTACATGAAGGAGGATGTCAAGGCTTTGGATACCACCAAGGCTCCCAAGGGCTCACTGAAGGACATCTACAAGGTCTTCAACGGAGAAGGCGAACAGATTAGAGCCTTCAAGTGTGAGCACTGCCGAGTCCTTTTCCTAGACCATGTCATGTACACCATTCACATGGGTTGCCATGGCTACCGGGACCCACTGGAATGCAACATCTGTGGCTACAGAAGCCAGGACCGTTACGAGTTTTCATCACACATTGTCCGAGGGGAGCATACATTCCACTAGGCCTTTTCATTCCAAAGGGGACCCCATGAAGTGACGGACTGCACATGAAGAAATACTGCACTTACAGTCCCGCCTTCCTCAGATGTCGGCATACCTTTTTTTTTTTTAATATTGTTACTGTCATTAATTCTTATTTTGTGGACGCAGTGTCATTTGCTCTGCCTGATTACAATAAGGAAGAAATGGAAGAGAGAAGAGACAGGGGACATTGTTTCTTGACAGCTTGACTTTTTATTGTGTGGGAATTTAAGAGCAGTTCATTTCTGCCATGCATAGATATAAGGTATATCATGCTTTGAGGGAAAAAAAAAAATCACTGGATTCATAAAAATTCATCTAAGGATTCTAATTTGCCACTGATGTTCAGGATTGTGCGAAGGCAGGAAAGATTAGCATTTTCTGGGTTGAACTTTCACAGTTTTAAATGGGATAAGTAATTTTATTGGTCAAAGAAGAATTTGTTTCAAAATGTAAATTGTTTCCTTTTCCTCTAGAGATCATGGAACACACACACATTATTTTCCATGATAACTCCTTGGATGAGTAGTTGTTGTGGGTTCTATGTTTACTTCCCTTGTGGAATTTATAATACGGTATGTTGTACCCTGTACCATATAGCAAAACTTATAAACTACAGGTAGTTAAGGACAGCTACAATACATCTGAGGTCCTATGATCTTATTTTTCTAAACTTAAGCACTGTTTTTCCATAGTTTTGATGACTGGCATTTTATAGACACCCTGGCAGCCTTACTTTGAACACCTTTAACAAATAGTGTTTTTATCTAGTTTTCAGAATAACATATGGTCTAAGAGTGGCTAAGAGGCATTCAGTAGTTTTCAGAAGGGACCTCTACTTTTCTTAAATTTGTTTGGGAAGTTTTCTTTTACGGCTGTATTGTGATGGCAGCATAGTATACATAATTCCTTTCTAAAAAGTATGCTTACGATTGTCACTTTATCAGCATTTAACCAGTGTTAAACCAGTCAGCAGAAAAATATTGATATAATTAGGCTAACAGTAGGGGGAAAAGAAAACCCACTCAGAAATCCCTTTTCTGGTATTTCTCTTTTCACTGGTTTTATTTTTCAAGCTTTGACCCCCAGTGTTTTGTCCATAGTCTGTTTATCTTTTATTCTTCTGGTGGAAGGTCTTAAATATCTTGCTGTAGGCTATTTCTTTCAAAATCTCAGAGCAGTTGCTAATTTGACCCAAGTATGGTGACTTGAACCACATAAGGTTATGGAACTAGGGCTATTTATTCTAGTATTTCTTCAATAATAATATTTACCATTTTTGGTACAAGGAAAAAGCAACTTCTTTGTAACCGGTGCATTACAGATAAAACAGACAAAAACAAAAGCTTATTTTTACCTTTCTCGGAGTCTAGAACGCAACCGAACCTCCAAGCTAAAGTGTTCATGTCCACACTTTTCTGTCTCAAAAACATGAAACTATCAATGTAGATAAGCTCTTATGAATCTCAGTCCCTTACTAAAGAATTTTTCTTCTTTTAATTCATATATATGTTGCCATATTTCATGGATAGATTTTAATTTCATTTATATGGGTGTTCTGTTTTTTTTTCTTTGCAGTCTAACAGCATTAGAGGGGAGAAACCGAGTGAAACTGATTAAATTCACTTGTGGTGGGCCCACTTGGAGGGAGAATTCGCTGCTTGTGTTTAGAGAGGATAGGCCTGACCATGACTGGATTGTCTGGTAACCATTTCTGAATGTTAAAATTACATTAAGCAGTAAGTGATAACTGCTCTAAAAAAATCATTCAGTGGGATGTTAAAACTGTGTTTCTTAGTGCAGAATGATGTGAGAATTAGCAACACTGGAGAACTATGATGGATAAGTAGGTCTGGCCCCAACACTGTTCATCACCCATTTTCAGCTTGCCATTCACTTGTGTAAGCAACGTCTAGGCACTGACGCTGCTAGAGCTAGGCGAAAAATGGTTACAACTCAGCTCTCTTTCACTGGCCCTCTGTGGCAATTATTTTTGGAGAAATACCCAAACTATTCCTTTACATCTCAGAGAAAGCACCAAATCGAAGATGTGAAATGTTTTAAATAGAATGTTAACTATCACTTTTTTCCCTGCATGCTCTGGTGCGTTACCACATTGTGAACATACAATGTATTATTCATAGGTGAAGCATGTCTTTGAGACTTACCCCATCTATCCCAACCACTCATATATAATTGGGATTTCTTTTTTTTTTTCCTTTTGGAGGGAGGTAAATAGTTTAAGGTTAGTGACTTTGTGTTTTACTGTAATTTAAGGAAACATTTGGATGGCAGTCAATATGTTCATAATTTTGGCTATGTGTGAGTTTCTGCTGGTATCATCTATGAATTTTTTTCCTGCTTACTAATTTTTTTTATCAGTGTATGAACAATCATGTACCTACCTGCCCAGGGATGAAACTGAATTCAGTGGACCTACAGAATTGTAGATTTGCCCCCTGAGGACAGTCCTAATGGCACTCTCCCTTTCTGATTCCATCTTTTTGAAAATCTTTTTTCAAAAAGTTGCTACCAGTATGTTACTTGTACTTTCTTAGCTTCATAGGAGGAACAACTAGGGATAAAGTTGGCTTAGGGTGTGGCAGGGGCAAATGAGGACAAGGTCAATTCCAATGTGTAGGTTAGATAGAATTTTTGTGGACACAGTGCTTTCTGGGAAACTCTGGATGGCTATATTTGCATGTTTCTTCACAAAAGGAAATATGCAAGATGGTTGCACCTAAAAATAAATACAAGGGTCAGACACCAAATAAATCAAGTTTTACATAACAGTTATATGCTCAGTTTATTTAGGTGGGGTTTCACATTACAGTATTCGAGGAGCATGAAAATGGGTTAGCCTCTGTATTTTCCAGTTTGGCAAAAATGCATCATGTTGTTTTGCCCTAATTTTGCCCAGAATTTTATGTCCAGCTCATGTTAAGAGATATGTATTGCCTCTCTCTAAAAGTGTTCGATCACTTTTTTAAAGCCATTCTAATCTGGCTTTTTACAATAGTGAAAATAATCAATAAGCAAATTGGAAGAGATTTCAAGTTGTTGAAACATTCTGTTGTGAATTTTCTGGAGGGACAAAATGGGAGAATGAGAGACTAGGATTCAGATTTGGCTAAAAGTAGGGACTGTACCTCCTACATATGTACAAGCTGCTGTGAGCATGCATCATAGTATACATACACGTTCTTTTAAAGAAAATTCATGAAGAAAAGAAATTAGAGTTATCAGCTGTGTTACAGGAGCCTATAGAGAGTTAAAATCATGATTAATAGCTGAGCAGCTTAATAGGTTTACTTTATCAGACTGTATAGAGAAATATTAAAGTTACTAGTCTATCTTTAGGAGTAGTCACAACTATTCAACTTAAACCTTGAGTCTTTACTATGTACTTCCAGAACAAATCAAAACAATGAATCCAAAGAAAAAAAAAAAAAACTTTTAAGCTGATTTCACATAACCTCTAAAGTGAAAGAAACACAAATTACTCTTAAATAGGAAGAGTTTCCACTTTTACTTGTTGGCAAATGGAGAAAGGCAAGAATGTTCTAGTGAACTCTGTATTGTTTTTATTTATGGTTTTTGTGTTTTGGTCTTAGACGTCACAAAACCATGAAGTTTTTATGATATTTTATAAATGTTTGACAAAAATTACATCAGTGAAGGCATTTAGATGAAAATGATGTTTTACTTTGTTATCTTTAAACTGATTCCTTAAGGTGGATGGCAAAAGAACAGAAAAGTCTGCAAAAATACAAATAAAGAAACTCTATGCTCCTGGTTTCAAGACAGAACTTAGATTATAGGAGGTATTGGCTATGTTATTTTTTAATTTTGAATTATTCATTTTACCAAAGGGATATGTTACAATTTGTTATCATCTTTCGTTCTATTTTATATATTGTTTTAGTAAATATCTGTATGAAAATTATTCTAAAACAGAAAATTCCCCAGAGGCAAAAGAAAAAAAGAGTGCGGGGGGTGAAATTGAAGTTTATATATACAAAAGTTATCTTAGAAATGTTTTTAAACCTCCAGTTTCTGCAAAATAATTAAAATATACAGTAACTGGTCTTAAGATCCTGAATTTAATGTATCAAATACTTATAAAATTTATTTATGTTTGTGCCTTTTTAAAATGCATTGAGAGAGTGTTGGTTAGCTGTTTAGTTCTACCACGCTTGTATTATGCATTTTTAAAAATCACTTAAAATCACTATATAATTCATCTTCGTGTTCTTAGGTCAAAACCATTAGAGGAATTTCCCATACAGAGACTTTCAGCTCATCTGCTTAAAGTAAAAGAAAACTTTGAAACCAGATGTTGCTATCTTTTTAGTTTGATAGTATTTCTGAATACCATTACAAGATTATGCAGGTAGTATATGAGGTGGAGGGAAATTGTAGCTGTGAATTGCATTATGGTATGGTATGTGTTTTTGTTTTGTTTTTAAGGAAGAATAAGTTCTAGTATCAAACAAGGCTTTATTAGTGGAATTTTGAATCAATAAAATACAGTATTGTTTTGGAATTTCACCTATAGTCTAGTGTTCTACTAGTCTTGGAATCTCCTCTTCTAACCTGTTAATGTTTTGTGGAATGATGTAAAGAAGCAGGCCACTAATTCTCCTTGAACAAAACAGAATTGAAGAGTCATATCATATTGCTATTCTCCAAAGCATAATCTCAAATGGTTTCCTACCATGGTTGTGTATTACTTGCAATAGATGTGTTAGAATATGACAGCTTTTAAAAAAAAAAAATG